AGGCCACATTGGGTTTGTCCATTCACCAGCCGAAGGCCCTTTGTGTTTCTGTCAGGTTTTCCCTATTGTGAATAACGCTGTCCGGAACATTTCTGACCGAGACTTGAGCAGACATATGCTTTTACTTCTCTCAGATAGATTCCTAGTTGTGGAATGGCTGGGTCCTATGGCAAGCTTGTGCTGAACTCTTAAGAACTCTCAAAGTGGCTTCTGCAGGGGCTCTTATATTTTACGTTGCCACCAGCAATATAGGAGGGTCCAGTTTCTCCACATCCTCAGCAACACTTGGTATCGTCTGTGGAAAATAAGCGCACTAGTTGATGTAAAATGGTACGTGGTTGTCCTTGCATTTCCTTGAGCACTAATAACATATTACTAATAACATTGATTACCTTTTTATGTGTCTCCTTTGGTACATGTGTATTCAACTCTTATACTGGCTTAAACGAGTGTGTTGCTTCGGCCCATTGAGGGAGTTCAAAGTCCTCTTGTCTCTCGTGAATGTGAGTCCTCACTGGGTATTTAATCCACAAATATTTCCTCCTAATCAGTGGCTTCTCTGTGCCTTTTCTCAGTGGCAACGTTTCATGCAAAAAACTCCTTCATCTTCAATTTTCTCTTACGTATCGTGCTCTTGCCGTAGTGACTTAGAACTCTTTGCTTACTGTGAATTCCTGACCATTTTCTCCCATGTAGTCCTCTTGCACAATAGTTTTGGCTCTTATACTTAGATCTGTGACCATTTTGAGTTCATTGCTGTGTAAGGTGTGATTTCCTGCAACAGCAGTGGGGGAGCTTTGTCCTGACAGGTACAGGAGAGCCTGGGGGACACCTTTGTTTCAGAGTTAGTCTCCCCCCGGCCAGGAATGGAGATTTGACCCTGCTGCACCTGTTAGTGAAAGGCTGAGTGCCTTTGGGGAGGGGAGATACGTGGGGCTCTGGTCATATACGGCATGCACTCCCCGTTCTCTGGGACTGGGTACAAAGTAGCTCCCGGAGCCCCAGGGCAGTCCTCCTCACAGGTGTCTTTAGAAGCACAAACACACTGAGAGCAGGAGAGGCTAACACAGAAAGGACCCCAGGGATCCCAGGGGATCTGGGTTGGGATCCGAGAGGGTCTTCTGTGGGTGGGTGGGAACGAGGACTCCCACACAATTGGAACTCAGGAAACATACCCAGAAGGAGTGGAGCAGATTGAAGACATTTCCCAGAGTTTGCACTATTTTTCCAACATGAAAATCATGGTGTGTGCCTGCATCAAAGGTGCTCGGGGGACCCATGCTGCCTCAGTCGGTAGAGCGTGCAACTCTTCATCTCAAGGTCATGCGTTAGAGCTCCACGTTGGTCATGGAGCCTAGCTGAAATTAAGAAAATAATAATAATAAATAAAAAATACACAGGTGCATGCGTCAGGAATCTGGAATTACTCCCCCTAAGGAAAGGATGGGGCAGCTCCCTTCGTCCTTGCAGGTCAAGAGCCATTCTGCGCCTTAGAGAATCCTAAAAGTTGCTTGATATATCCTCAGATCAACCCAGAGATTCTACACTTTTAGTATTTGTTGGGTTTCCCGTGTATGGTCAGAGGTCCACTGGCAGACAAAAGTTGACACACGGAGTACAGAGTAGACCAAAACACAGAATAGTACCTGGATGCACCACATTAGTCTCTGTCCTCACTGCGGTCTCACTGAAAATGAGAATGGGCAATCGAAATACCTGGTGTTCAACACACATTAGGAGAAAATGGAAAGTTTGGGTTAACAGTTTAAATTATTGTGTCTCCATATTGAATCTGATGGCAAGTGGAGACTCTGTTGAACGTCTTCTAGGTTCTGCAGGTGGAAATGAGGGGCTGAGGGACAAAGCAATTTACAACTGAGAGTAACTTTGGTAACGTAGTACCTTCACACTTGACACAGTTTTCTTTCATTTTGTCTGATGCCCTGCTGTCATGTTTGATTCTAACCATATTTGTACAAGGAAGTTGATATCAATAGCAAACCTAAAATCCATACCACTAAATATCACAGTGCTTATTCCTAATGGTACTTTAGGCTCGTTTCTAACTGCCTGTAGTTTCGTGATGACTGACTCTGAAGGCAGCCCATTCTAGCCACGTGTGCACTTCTCTTTGGCCCCACCTCCAGGTTAAGCAGTGCACCTGAGAGGGCTCTATCACTGGGGGAAGGACGTAGGTCAGACAGGTAATAAAGAGAAATGGGGGGACTGGGAGTCAGCAAAAAGAAAGCATAATTATCAGTGCATTGATTCCAGAGAGGACCATTATATTGCTTTTTAAAAAATATTTTATTTACTTCTTTGAGAGAGAGCGATTGGGAGAGCAGAGTGGTGGAGGGAGGGGGAGAGAGAGAGAGAAGCAGACTCACCCCTGAGCAGGGAGCTGGACATGGGGCTTATCCCAGGACCCTGGGATTCTGACCTGAGCCAAAGACTGA